GAGGCTCATCGGCAACTGGAGAAGAAAGATGCAGAGATCAGCAACATGAAGAAAGAAGTAAACACACAGATAAACATCCACATTTCCATTATGTTGACTCATATTCATTAACAGAAACCTTGTCCTAACACTAACAAACAAATGCACAGATTTACATGTATGCATTAGTTTCTATTTTGTCCTCAAAAGAAAGTAATCCAAACTCCAGTCGGGCAAAAGCAGATTTATTATCCATTGAAATGAGTGATGAACAAACACACTGCCAAACAACAGACACAATGTGCTACAGCTGGAAACATTCATGTTCCTAATGACAGCAGCACTCACTGTTCGATCACACCCATAGTAAAGTTAAGGCTAAACCGTTGTGTTGATCTGTTTGTCTGTTAGTGTGAGAAAAACCAACATGCAGCTGAGAAGCTGAAGGAGGCAGATGAAAAACTGAAAGAGGCTCATCGACAACTGGAGAAGAAACATGCAGAGATCAGCAACATGAAGAAAGAAGTAAATACACACAGACTGTTGTTTTGAACACTTCAGGACAAACACATTTATTTACTGGGACCTCGCTCTGTCCTCAACCATAAACAAACAAACATGCAGCACATTTACATGTATTTTACACTTTATTAATGCTTAAAAAGAAAACAAAACCCAAACTCAGTGTGTAAAAACAGATTTATATTAAAAACACAGACAAAGACTCAACTTTCTGTTATCTAAAGAAAAAACAGGAAGACGACAAGACCCAATGTTGTGTCGTCTTCTTGAGAAACTGGACAGTGAATAAAAACTGGAGATCAAATTTTTTTAAATGTTCAAAATATTTTTACTGTGTTTAGCAAACACTGTTTCTCATAGGCTCAAATATCTTGTCCATCTCTCCCTCTCGCACACACTAATCTGCATATGTTGTCTCTCTCTCAGCCAGACACAAGCAAACCACCTCCTGAGAAATCTCAGACCAGTTTTGAGGAACAGAATAAGAGCGGCTCAGCCAATCACAGCTCAAAGACAGGTGACATCACGTTGGTCGAGGTCGAGAGAAATGGCAGCTATATCTGTCTGAAAAACACTTCCAGTGAGGTACTGCTGCTTGCATGCTGATGAACAATGAGTACTACCTAAACACAAACAACATGTTCCATGTATTCAGAAATATTTTAAAAAGGTCCTTTTCACTTATGTGGACGTAACACACTCATTTATAAACACTTTGGATTTAACACACACTGAACTTTGTTATCATTCATTTTCCCCCTTTTTTATTCTCTTGTTTTCCTTTTACAGAATAAACTTTTGTCAGGTTGGAAGTTAAAACTACAGATCAACAACAGAGAAAGTGTCACATACGAATTTAAAGAAAACTTTATACTGGAAGCTGGAAAGACACTCCTTGTAAGTCTCTGTGTTACTAGATTTTCTCTTTCAGTCTCTCTTTTGTTACTTTTAGCTTGGACATCTGTGACCTTTTTATTGGTTACATTTACAGGTACGGCAAGATGCTGTCAACAAGCCAATTAAAACTGATGCTGACCTGCTGTGGATGAACATGGTCAACTGGAACATTGGAGACGACGTGAAGATCGACCTCATCAGCAACACTGGAGAAGAACAGATGCTGTTTAAAAACAAGATCATGTAAAATAATCAGAGTCACTTTTCTGAGGGATAAATTAAATAAGAGCATTATTACATTTTATATATTTCAGATTATTTTAAGTCAGTTAAAAATTTTATGTTTTTATTGAATTAAAAATATGTAAATAAAAATATCTTTAAAAAGGAGTCTTTATTATTTAGAGGTGCATCACAAATATAGTTTAACTGCAATGATGTGGACAATGGTGAGACTTCGCTGTGTGTTTTAAAGCTGAAGGTACATGAGTGAGAACTTCACAAAGAGAAAATCTTACAAGATCTCAAGATCTTTTTTTCTGTTTTACTTTGAAAAGTGATTATTATTATTATTTTTTTAAAATCATAAGTCACAGCGACCACTCCCTAGTTGACTATTTGCATTAATTTTTTTGTTTTCCATTCTTTAGCACAGATTATAGAACAGGAGGTGTTTTGTAATTAGCATCATTAACGTCATCAAGACAAGAGCACTGAATCCAAAGTAGAACAAACAACAGGTTGTTGTACTTTGGACTGATGACTGGCCGAGCACTTCAAGTCCTGATATCATCATCCAACATCATAACATCATACAGCTAATATCCTAAAGTAACAGTTAAAGCAGTGCTCAGGATAATTGCATTTGAGTAAAGCACTCTTTGAAGGCAGCACTGTTTTAAGATGTGGTTCACCAACATCAGATATGCTGCACTTGTGCCATCCTTCATCAGATATGGAAACACTGTGGCTCACCATATCTCCTGTTATTCTGTTGTCTATGAGAAGTCCATCCTTATAAAAATCAGAGAGGAGGTGGGAGGATGTGTTCTTGTTTTTGCAGCTCAGACTCACACAGTTACCCTCCAGCCCAGGAAAAACAGGCCTCTGCAGGATCACAGAGCCAACTGACAGACAAATGTTTTCATTTCCAGTCATGTTCTCAAAGATTGAATAAAATTACTTTTTACAGAAACTTTCCAGTGAAAGTAAAGTTGACAGAGATTTTTCTGTCTCTCCTAATTTTGTCACATGTAAACATTTTCCACTGTTTGTTTGATAGGTTACTTGAATACTGCAATATACTGTTGTACCAATTCAGTTAATGTTTTGTTGGGTTTCTTGATAACACGTTGCTTGAAGCACTCCTCAATATAAAGTTGCAGACTGTCCAGATCTTCGCCACTGCCCAGCAGAGTGCTGAAGGTAGTGGAAAATTTAGCTAGAATATATTTTATTGCCTTATAGGCTCTCTAGAAATTAACTGGTTGAGAAAACTAATGACAAAAATGTAACCAGTAGCACCCCGCCATGCTCAATACTGCTGAGATTCCCATTAAAGTCTTGAGTCACTACTGCATTATGTCTCCCCAATACTTTGCAGATTTCTGTTTCATGTCACATGCTTAGAGAAATCCCTCAGTATTCCTGATCCTTCGCAAATGAGTGGAGCCATCAAGACCTTCACAGTGAAAAAAAGAAACTGAAACAGCTGCTGTCTGTCTGGAGTGTGAAAACCTGCATCTAAACAGAAACACAAAGAAAGCAAAAAATGTGATATAATGAAAATACAAACAAAAACATTAATTTCTATTGTAAACCTGAAGAACAATACAATTGACAAAAGCAATAAAAAAATTGTATAGTATAAAAATTTGTGGAAAAACGATTTACTGCTGTCCTGGACATGTGCACTCAGCAGAATGAATATGAGCATGGCTGCACAGACAATGGTAGAAAAAACAGAAAAAATAATAACAGTATATTAGACTAAAAGTGTAGTTTTAACTTGAAATAATTAAAACATGAAAAGAAGAAATAAATAAAGGAACTTGTGCAGCAAACACTAATACTAGTGTACTGCAGAGAGCTCTAACCTCCATGTTGAGTTGTTGCTGACTGACTGAGAAGACAAAAGAGAAAACATCATAAACAACAGATATTAACCCAGATACAACATAAAAGAGAGGAGCTAAAGTGGTTTGACAAATTTTACATAGATAACATGATTTTACCTGATAGATGCTAAACTTGACCTGTCTATTATGAATCCCTTTGTACTTAATTGATAGGTCTTCACCTAGAAGTAGTATTGTAGTTATTTTTCAGTTAGAGCCATGTCCAGTCTTTGCAGTGATGTGCTCTAAGTTAAATTTCAAAGGCACAAATACAACAGTGTCTTAAAAATCATGGGCTGAGTATAATAAATGTTTGTGTGAATGATATAAATACAATTTTGGAAAAATTGATTGACTTGCGCATTTGTGTAACTAGGGCGAGGTGTGATTATGTACATGGGATGGTGTTAGGGTCCCTGGGTCGTTGACCCAGTGTTTTGTGTTTTTTGGTTCTTTGATTTTGTTATTTCATTATATTCTAGCTTTGTCTTATGGGTTTTAGGATCATTCTTAGTTTAGGTTCTCTGGGTGGGGTTTGGTTAGAGTTTTAGTGTTCTGGTTTTCTGTCTGTGTTCCATAGTTGCTGTCTTCCCTTCTGCTGTATCCCCACATCCAGTCAGTGTCTGTGTCTGCCCCGGTCCCACGTCTCTGTTTCCTTTATTATAGTGCCTGCCCGTGAGTCTGTGTTATGTTTCCTGTTTTACTTTGAAAGTCCATGTCTGATGTTAATGTGTCTGGTTTTGCTTCCCCTTGTCTTGTTAGGCCTGATTTGTCCCAGCTGTGTTTCCCTCCTGTTACCCATTCCCTGATTGCTCCCTCTGTGTATTTAAGCCCTGTTTCTCTGTGTCCGTGTCGTGATCTTCAGTTTATTTTGCTGTGTGTTTTGCCAATCCACCGGTGTTAGTTTATTTTGAGTTTTTTTCCAGTTATGTTATGTTTGCATTCAGCATTAAAGCTGTTTTGGTTTAAGTTCTGTCTCCGGAGTCTGCACCTTGGGTCCTATTCCTGTCTGCACACAGACTGAGGAGTTCTGTTGTCCCCATGATCTTTCCTCCTGTTGATCAGATTAAAAATTGACAGCACAAATTTAAATTATGACAGCAGCAAAGTTATATGGTTGTGTGTTGTGTAGCAAAACATTTCAATTCATGCAGTAATTAAAAAACAGTTTGGACATAAATATATTTTTAAGACACAAGCTTGGAAAGGTACTGTACAGTGCTGTACAGTTTCACTTGCTTGCAGTTTTTGAGTTAATTTGATTCATTATTGTGTCTGAAACATGAGAATTTCTTCCTTCTGCTCTTTCTTCATGTAACATTTCAGCTGCAGTCAGAGAAGAAAACTGAAATCATCAATCAGCTCCAGCAGGTGAAACAAACAACAGAGAAACTGAAGAATCAGGTAGAAAAAAAAAGCATGAGGTTTGTCTTTCAGTTCTAAACATTCAGAATTTGCTGACTCAAATCTCTTCATGAATGGAATGCACATCAATATTGACTCACCAAATCTGAAGGTCTGAAATATAAAAAAAGAATCTAGAATATATACAATTTACACCCAAGATCCAACGTTGTGGCTGATGTCTTCAGATGTTACTTAAACATGTACACATGATTGTTTTTTCTCATCATCCCATCTATTTTGTGAAATGCACCAGTCCCTTCTGCAGTCCCTTTTTCCTTAAAGATACTGTTTATCGTTACAGTCAAACAGTTTTGTTTGGTCAGATCTCAGGACATGTCTCCAGAAATTTTTTGTCCCCATGTGCAGCAGCAGCAGTAGTCTAACTTTTTTATGGTGGTTTTGAAGTAATGGCTTTCTCCTCCCAGAGTAACCTTTCAGCTCCTGGTGGTACAGGACTCGTTTTACTGTGGGTGGTGACGCTGTCTTTCTAGTGTCAGCCAGCATCTTCACAAGGACTTTTCATCATGTCCTGGGCTGTTTCACATATTTCAAACAAAAAATGTTCCTCTTTGGCACTCAGAATCTGTCTCCTTCCCAAGCAGTTTGATGGTTGTACGTTCCCATGTTTTTTATACTTGTGTATTATTGTCTGAACTGATGAATGTGAGACCTTCGGTTATCTGGAAATTGCACCAATAGATGAGCCACACACATGGAAGTCCACAGTTCTTTTCCTGATGTCTTGTTTGATAAAGACACAATAAACTAATATTATTATAAAGTAATAAAAAAAACATAACTCTGTCTTTATTCTGACATTACACAAATACAAAAATATTTTAATATTTATTGATCTAAAACAAAACAAAAAAGTTCACTCTGATTTGATGTTTGACAGTAAATAAAAAAAATGTATTTGTTTTTTTTCTGAAGTGTATGTAAATATCTGATTTCACCTGTATGCTAAAGCAGCAGTCCCCAACCCCCGGGCTGTTTGGTATCAGGCCGCGAGAGTTGAGGCTTTTATCATTTTTATTATCTGGTTTTATTTTGTTTATTTAATCTTGAGAATTGATGACAGTGTCATAAATTGTAGGGACAAGGTAAAAAACGTGGGCGTGTGGTTTGACGTGGTGCTCTCTTTCGAGTCTCATGTAAAAGAGATAACAAAGACCGCCTTTTATCATTTGAGGAACATAGCCAGAATCAGACAAGTTTTGTCAAGCGACACTGCAGAGGTTCTTGTCCATGCATTTGTGTCCTCACGTATTGATTATTGTAATGCTCTTCTTTCTGGGCTACCAAAGAAAAGTTTTAGAGGTCTACAGATGGTGCAAAATGCAGCTGCTCGCATTTTAACAAGAACTGGGAAATTTGAGCACATTAGCCCTGTTCTGAGATCTCTGCATTGGCTACCTTGTCAGGTTCGAGCAGATTTTAAGGTCCTGCTGCTCACCTACAAGGCTTTAAACGGACTGGCACCTTCATACCTCTCCGACCTTTTACATCTTTACGTTCCATCCCGTGCTCTCCGATCTCAGGACTCTGGCCTTCTAAAGGTTCCTAGAGCCAGAAAAAAGACAATTGGAGAGCGTGCTTTTTCTTTTCGTGCCCGTTTCTGTGGAAGAAGATGTTAGGCAGGCATGCTCCGTGGAGGTTTTTAAAACTAAGCTGAAGACACATTTGTTCACCTTATCTTACAAGTCTTAATTCTATGGCTTTTAGTTTTTAAATTCTTACTGTTTTTAACTTGT